TCTGGTGCAAATTACTGACCTCTGTCATCATTTTAGGTGGGGGAACTTGCACAATCGGTGGCTGACTAAATACTTTTTTGCCCCACTATATATCTATATATCAATATCTGTTGTCACAGATGGCACGCAACATCTTTTGCACTTAAAGTTCAGCTACAATGCTGACATTTTCTCTCTCTGTGGCCCAGTGATCACGAGTTGTAAACATGGCTCTAATCAGCCTACACATGCTAACACTAAGTATAAATTTAGAGCAGAATCCTGTTTCCCCTTAAGTAATTTTGCTTCCTCATTGACCAGCCGTTCTGCTACAGTAAACTCGAGCGGCGCGGATATATTGGCCAATTTTACTATTTTTCTCAACATATGTGAATTAGCAAAAAGGCCAATAAATGAAAGTTTAGGAAGTTTAGAAATTAAGAATCCAAAGGAGAAAGTTCGTCCACCAGGGGCGCTCTGCAGCTTCCCAGTTGGCTACACGTGTTTGGAACACCAGAAACACGACAGCTGATCTGAGCAGACTCAGTTTAAATGAGTAAGTAAAGAACTCAATATAACAAATGTTACAGAAATCAATTTGTCTCCAGCAATATATGAATTTTAAATCACTAAATATTGATCTTGGTCTCCAAAATTATGCACTTGCAAGTTCCCAGTCAGAATTTTCAACTAGAACAAGTCAAGGCAGTCCCACCAATCCCGACTTCACAATCCAATCCAGTGCACACATGCACAACTGTCAAACGTGCAGTTTGTACAGCCACTGTTATGTATTTGTGACTTGCTAAATAAGACGTATCCAGAGCACTGACTGTGCTCTGTCCATGAAGAGGCAGCAGTGATGTTTTTAAGCACAAGAAACAAAAACCAAGCACTGTGCTGGTTTTCTAGTGACACATGAATGCCTCTACGTTGCTAAGGAGCAAAACAAATCCCATTTTTCTTGCTTTTCCAATTTTACCACTGGAAAAAGCTCACCTCGGGAGTGGTGTCACTCCCAGTCCCAACATCCGACTTGCGAGGCAACTGGAACGCTGCGTTAATCTTCATGCTAGGCGAGGCTAAACGCCACATCGCTGTACCTAACTCACAGACATTAAATGGATCTTGATCCTTTCATATCTGTCTTCAAAGACTGAAAATAAATGTATACAACCGTTTCTTTACACAGGGGTGCTTTGCAAAAGGATTCACAGTCATACAAATGAGCCTAATAAAACTGAAAATGAGTATGAGGAGAAAGAAACTGCAGAGAGAGAGAGAGCGTGTTAGAGAAGGAAGAGAGAGAAAATAGAGGAAAAAGGAGGTGAGACAGAAGATTGTCACGGAGCCATTCAGATATTCAGATGGCGAGGTAGGAGAAGAAAGAGACAAACAGGAAGGGAGGGGGGAGAGGCGGGGAAACAGGGGCGAGCGAGGAAGGAAAAACAAGGCTAGATGGGGAATCAGCCGGTCAGAGTGACAAACAGAAAGAACGGCACGTGTGGCTCATAGCTGAATGCAAAACCACAGAACAAAGAGGAAAAGGAAGCACTTGTTGTACCTTCTCTCTCAGCTCGGAATATGAAGGTCCGCAGGGAGGTGACTACCTCAAACTTGTTGTCGCCCAGTCCTCGCACCTGCCTGATAGCGCTGGCCAGAATCATCCCTTTGGAGTACATCTCCTAAACAGAGGAGGACACACACACAGCGAATAAACACAAGCACACACGCCGCTTCACGCATGTTAATAATGTTATTCAACTGCTGCTTATTCCTATTATCTGCATCTGTAGGCCCACAGTTATTATTTTCTGGCGCATTGTTTGTATCAATAGACGTGAAATCCTGAGTCGTATTACTCTCTGTTAGGACCGCATTCCATTTCAAACAGCACTAACAGATGTCCTCGTGAAACCACAGAAACATCTTATCAGTAGGCCGTCAGATTTATCTGCAGAAATGAAGCAACCCTGTTCCGTGTCCAGCAATAACTTTGATAAATCGCACAAACGCTCTCGGACAAGGAGCGCTGCTCCGAGAGCCGTAACGAATTTGCATTGACGCGACCTCCGACCTCGAATTGGATACTTGAAATGTGCAGAATTTCAAAAGCAGGAAACGATGTCCAAACGAAAAAAAGTGAACTGCGCTACATTAAAGAACGCCAGCGCACGTGGCGAGACGTCATCTGGAAGTTCGTGAAACAAATCTACGAGCTGAAAACAAACTTTTAAATTTAAAAAGAGACGTGCACACGTGTACTGGGGATTCAGCACAGGAAGTGAGTAGGTAAAGCGGGACTTGGTTGTGTGCTTTGTTTCATTACCCCCCCCCTCCTCCCCAGCAGCTCTAGTGGAGGCATCCAAATAAGGAGGATGTTGCACTGGAGGCTTCGTGACCCTCTTTACAGTCTCCCTCGACAATGGCAATTACAGTACTGGGTCATCATGAATGGGAAACGAGACAGAATGGACAAAAAAGGAGAAAAAAACCTCCAAAGTTAATATTATGACTACTGAAGAATCAAGGACAGACGGCATCACTATCAGTATTCAGAACCTGATGTGAGAATATAACACAGAAATGTCCAAGAACATCTCAGACTATAACGTTCCTGCAATAGAGGGAAGTGGGGGGAGGGGGGCAGCACATTATGCTTTTGTAGTGGCATGAAAAATGACATGGCTGTTAAAAAAAAGGGGGGGCAGACACGAGAATGCATTATTCATGCTGATAATGTCATTATCATTGCAAAATAAGGAGGAAAAAAACCACAGAAACAACAAATGACTTCATATGACAGTTTTTTTTCCTTTTCCGTTTTCTTGACCTGAATTTTGATTCCTGTGTATAAACTGTAACAGTTTGTGTCTGTCGCGCACAACACCGTGCTTCTATCCCACAGTCACATGCAGAGTGTGCCGAGTAAGCGAAGGAAGAAAGGATGGATGGATGGATGAAAGAGGGAAGAGGGTGTGGGGAAGACAAAATGAGAAATTAAAAAAAAAAAAGGATGTGAACTTTTGACTCCCTCTTGTCATTATTAATTAAACCAGTGACCTTGCCATCCACAAAAACCTATTTCTAGAGACCACGCAGCCAAAAATATACCAGCCGGCACAGTCAGTTAAGGAGAGTAGGGCTGAGTGGGAGGGATGGATGGATGGTGGGAAAAAAAAAAAGAGATAAATTAGGTTTGGGTGAAAGGCCAAGGAGAGAAGTAAGGGAAAGAAAATGGTAAGAGCGTTGTGTGATACAATCAGAAAAAAGAGGTAAGGAGGGGAAGGGGAAAAAAACAGAGGGGAAGGGATAAATCCATGATCAGAAAGAAAAAGAAACAGAGAAGAGGGAGGACAAAGAGAGGAGAGGAGGCGCGTGGGAAAAAGAGAGACATCATGTAGAAATGAAGACGCCTAAGAGGGTCAAGAAGGGGTCGTTCTCATATTAAAGCAGGATGTTAACAATGGCAAGAAGTGGCTCAACCTAATTACCGACAGGCAGCCGTGTGTGTTCCTCTCCCCGGGAGTTTCACACCAATATCTCCCTCTTTCTCTCTCTAAATTTAGCCAGAAGTTAAAGGAAGGTGAGGAAAGGAGAAAGTAAGAGCGCGCGTGGATGAATTAGCTCGGCGGCTGCGCACGGATAATTATACCCCGGCATGGGTTAATTAATTGTTTTAATTCCAGTTTTGGGGTCACGCAGGAGAGACTTGTTTAATTGCGAGTTGTGCATCTGTAAATACTCTCCCAGCAGAGTCAGCGGAGACGATGTGACGGGAAGCGGCGGTCGGCGTTGAGATGACGCCATGCGCCGGAGCGGCAGCTGCCCGCCCGCATGCACGTGAAGGTTTTTGAGGCTGATCTCGAGGGGACTGGCTGCCAAGGAAGCAATGAGGCCTAACTATCTCTCTTTCTCCAATAGCCGACACACCTGACTCACCTCCGTCTGCCAAAAGATCTCCTCCACACTCACCTCCCCTCCTCTATGACCTCTCCCCACTCCAACTTCAGCTGCTCATTCTTAGCCATACAAACCCTAGGGAAGGCCTCTCATTTGGTCCTCCATAGGGTTTGTCACCCCATGTCATTTTGCAGGGCGGTGTCGGTACTACCTCTCCTTTTTTGTGCATGGAACTGCCTATCCTGCATGGATAACTCTCTGTTCTTTTCAAAAACAACCTGGTAAACTTCAGGAAACAATTAAGGCAGAGCAATGGAGCTAAAGCCTACAATAATAGAGGCGCCGTGTGGAGAGAAGAAAAAGAAAAAAGAAAAGAAAAAAAAAAACAGGGAGGAGGGTTAAAAAAAAAAAAAGAAAAGAAAAAGGATGGAGGAGGTTTTACCACCAGCATGGAGTTAAGGTTCTGGCATCTCAAACGCTCAGATTTTCAGTGGAGGCATGAGGACACCAACTGGCTGGAGGGAAAAATTGCACCTCCCGGGAAAAGCATCCACGATCAGCGAGCTGCCTGCAGTATTTAGAAGTCGATGGTGTCTGTGTTTTCTGTTTTTTAAACATGTAAAAACCAAATAATTTATGCCTAACTGTGAACAGTGAAGTTGTGAGATCATTCATGTCTCTCATATCTGTTGTCTGAGGATCAGACCAGAATAAAAGATTTAGACTTTAAAGTCCTAATGGAGTCAAATTATAATCCTCATTTTTAACCAAAGTCTGGTTCCCTTCCAAGTGTTAGTTTAGAGGTTACGCTGTTTTTCCCTCCCCTCCCTCTCTCCGGAACAGCAGAACTGACTGTGAATAGAAACAGCAAACACTAATACCACCGTCTCCCTACTGCTGACAGACAGAATCCGTTTAACAGTATTTATTTCAGTGTGTTTTTGTCCATTTGATGGATTTAAGTCGCTCGGCGTCCTCCATCACCCACCGCTGAGCAAAATATCAGGCTGTTTATTTGTCAAATGCTTCCCTACGTTAGCGAGTGGCATCAGCTAATCACCAACTTTGTCTGACATGTGGTGCCGGGCAGGATGTGTACACTGGGGCTTGGATTTTTTTTTTCCTTAGAGCTCACTGCCTGCTGAGCTGAGACTAAAAAACAAAACTAGTGAGAAAAATGAATCAGAACGCTTATTTTGCAGATCATAAAATAAAAACATGAAGCTGACAGATGATTAAAAAAAACTTGAAAGATCTGAGGAAATCTAGAAATTTAGGTAATAGATCGCTTTCACTATAAACATGTTAAAACATAAAAGCCATTAATGGGAGCAGCTAAAGGTATGTTAATAATTATTGAACTTGACTGCATTAGGGCACTTGATCAGGGTCCTGGGAGTCAAAATAAAAGCCATTTTAAGGATGTATACACACACACACACTCACAGTGAAAAAAGGAAACACTCAGCATCAGAGCAGGCATCTTAGGATGATACTGGAGATAGTAAGTAGAGAAGCTTTCAGGCTTGCAAGGGAGCTTTTCCACATCAGACTGACTAACACGCAGACAGACAGATAGACACACTGAAAGACTGATCCCCTGTCCTAAAACCTCATCTCCCCTTTGGCCTTCTATCCAGCTTCATCCCCCACCCCAGCCTCTCATCTCTTCATCCCTCGCAGCCATCCTCCTCCACTTCCTCCTCTCACTACCCCGAAGCAAGGCTTTGGACTGTCTTCATGCACGCACACACACACGACACCAATATAGGGACCCCGGAGACTACATCTCAGGCCCGCAGCTTTCTCCCAAGTCAATCCCACTGTTGACGAAATCAGGCGAAAGGCGTGATTGATCAGACAGATTGGATACAATGCTGCACAGAGAGAGAAGTGAGACTGCGAATCTCGCTACTCTCCCACGCCACCTCCGTTACCCCTATGATGACATCATCGTGGCCAGAGACCTTCAAGTTGCGACTGAGATTAAGTGCGATTAGTTCTGTCTGGTGCTGACAGATCCCAGGGGGGTTTTCAGCTACAAAAAAAAAGAGATTTTTGGGTGTTGGAAAGTTTGGCAAAGAGAACAAGCATGGGAATGTTTTAGCGTGTAGGCATTTTTGTTTTTGTGTACGAATGCTAGAGACAGAACGTGATAAAGAAAGAAAAACATACTCATATCAGTATTGACTCGATCTAAGAGTCCAAACTGAAGCTCAGCGCAGACTGCAGAAGTCTGTTTTTTGCTTGTGTCTTTTAAGATATGACTCAAAAGGGCAAACCGTTTTCATTTAAACTAAAGAAAGAAGATTTGTCTGATGGTTTTATAAGCAACTTTGACTCACACAGTTACAAATGCAATAAAATAATATTTTTTGTTTCATTACCCAATGCTCCAGGTTTAAATCTTTTATAGACATTATCTTTTGCTAAGGCTTCAGAGACACAGGCCTAAAGACTTATCAGCAAAAACTGTATAGTCTCCAACCAGTTAGCAAGGGGCTGCTTGTGATGGCTAGGTCAGATTGAACCTCCTTGCTTTGGTAATATTGTGAGTAGAATGTGAAAAAAATATGACAAACTGTAAGTGAGATTGTTTAAAGTAAAAGTTGTGTTCTACTGCTTCAGTCAACATTACTTTGAAAGTGAATTATCTCTGTGTCTAGTTTGTTTCACACTTCTCTGTTTCACTGTCACTTGGCTAGTGGTTAGTGTGTGTTTGCAAAGAAGGCTGGCTCCTCCACGTAACCGATGAGCAACTGCTGCAGCTGCAACGTTTTCC